GACTTTACCCGGCTTCGAAAACACAGTTGGGTAGAATTTATCGGCTTGTTTGTAGTACAGTAATTGCAACAAGCATTGTCTGAAGTACTATATAAAAGTGAGGGAAAATATTTACGATATGGCTGTATACAAAATCTGATCCAATAAACTTGTTTGGTATTTGAATGTTAGTTACCTCCCGGGATTTAGCGGTATAGGTGTATAAGATCTTATGAACATCCTGTTTCCTGTTTAACCATACTTACACAACAACCAATAAATGCTTAGTTTCCAGTAATATTAATAAGGCCCGTTTTGGTAAAGCTAATATTTCTAGCTTCGCCTTCTTGTTAATCACTTTAGAAGCCTTACAGAAAAGGGATATTACTATAGTTTATGTAGACAAGTTAATTGGTCGCAGCATAAAGTTTTTAGCAGCAGTGAAGGAACATAAGGGTAAAAAGGCCTTAGAAGCAGAGAATACCATTAAGGAAATGACGTTTCATTAATAACACTGACATATAACAACAAGATAGTTTCAATCAATCATGGTCAATTTTTAATCAGTATCATACACAATAAGAAACAATGGTTATTCACACCAGCTTCTTCTCATGAACCAAATGGGTCACAGCCAGGCACTTCTAATTCCATTCCAAACAATTTTTGAGTTTCGTACCTTAGAAGTTAATGAGTGGCCAGCAGAGATAAATCCAGGTTTTGGAGAAAATGAAATAATGTCCTTTTATAAACGTTTCAGATTGCTATTTTCAAAAGCAACCACACCATATAGAAACTTTCTGGACAACTGTTGGTACCATATTCCTTCAGATCTGAATCCATTAATCGGGTGTACAAAAGTAATCCCATGCAGTTCTGAATACGAACGAGGCTTTAGACGCATGAACCTTATCATTACGGAAACAAGATCTGGGCTGTTAATCAACCATGTGACAAATCTCATGTTCATTAGCTTGAAGGCCCTCTAATTCAAAACTGGAAACAGACGACAAATGGCTTAGGTGTCATTTGAGCAGCTAATACACGAACAAGAGTAGCTAAGTCCAAGGAACTTACTATGGACCAAGCTTGGAAGTTCCGTTAATAAGTTATCCAGGAATTTAAAAGTTCGAGGTGAGAGAAAATTAATTTTTGTTGAAACATTTTCAAATGGAGATTTCAATTACAATTACAATTTACAGCTACTATTTCTGAAATATATGTGTTTATGTATTGATGACGTAATAAATAATAACCATAGTAAAACTTTCAAAACGCGTTCCCTCACTTCTTTATTTAGCACTACACCACTGATTATTGGCCATTTGTATTTTCATTTTGAGATAAGTGAAATATCTACTCGTGGACAGAAGACTACTATAATGAAAGACGAGATACTGACACAGAAGCCCTGAGCACACTCCCAGGTACCCAATCATACGATTCGGGTAAAAAAGGCTGCTGAACCTATTGAGGAAATCTTGCACAGTTTGCAGTGAATGTCTCAGTAACACCAACTAAATAAGGTAACAAAGAGTTTCAAGACATTCCTCTCCAAACTTTGGACCCTCTGACACTATCTCCTAGTTTTAGTACAGTTAGAGAAGAACGAGAAACATTAGTACCCTTGCTAACTGCAAGGGTACATAGCATCAACTTCAAGATTCCAAAACCTCCAGAAACATCTTAGGAACATCCACAAAGTAAAACAATTCGAGTCCTGCTATGAAAACTCATTTCTCATTATAAGTAAAAATACCAAAAATTCAAGCACAAGAACGCCATCAGCCGTATCACCAGGCCTGCAACAAAGGGGTCAAAGTCAGTTTCTAAAGAGACCAGTTTGTTGACCGTGTAGTGCTGTCACATTCAAAACTCCGTCTAGTAGGAGACCTATCGACTCCGAGGTTGGTCTGAATTGGAACTATGTTGCCTCATAGATGAGAATCGAAGACGTCGAACCAAACACCATTGTCGTCAGAAAGCGCAGTACACCTTCGAAGTGGTATTCACAGCGCTAAGGATGCTTACTGTTACATTAAAATTTTTCTTCGAAACATGGCTATCTTCTTCTTCTTCCCCCCCCCCTTTTTTTTCTTTTCCTTGTTTCGTGATAACTGTTGCTTTTAAGTCTTGTATTTAATCTCATCATTAATTCTTTGGTAAAAGCCTGATCACATTAGTTGGGCTTTTTGATTGTTTGTAATTAAGCACAAAGCTACATAATGGGCTATCCGTGCTCTGCCCACCACGGGTATCGAAACCCGGTTTCTATCGTTGGAAGTCCGAAGACATACCGCTGTGCCACTGGGGGACTGGGCTTTTTGTAATTTTAATTAAAATTTGACGTTGTCACTCTTTTTTTTTTCTTTTTTACTTGCTCACTTCATACTCAATTCCACTTTGTTTTATTCTGTAAACCGTGGTTTCGCATTACGATTTTTTCTAGTATTATTTGAACGTTAGTTAATGAACACACATATATTCATAAAACATATAATTCATTTCCAGAATTTCCTTAACTCTCAGCACCCACGTATAAAATTTCCATTTGGAACTGAGGCTAAAATTAAACTTTAGTTTCTAGATTCAAGTTAACCGTCTGAATAACCAGTTAACAACATCTGTTTATGAAAAGAAAACTTTTACTGGTCTGTACACCGGCGTAGACAGCTATATACTGGACATATTCAAACGCAATCCTGTAATCAGTGAGAAATTAACAGCTATCCTTTATCTACTAATAACTTCAAAATCGTAACATGAAGATCATCAAACTACTAATTTCTGATCTAAGAAAGTCTTTGGGATCTCAAATGAACATTTCAGCCTAAATGATAATCTCGGTTACATTTATCTCTCCTTATTTTGAATATTATATTTTATTAAATTATGTCATTAACGTTTGTAAATTTTACTTATTTCTTCAACTGTGTGTATATTTTGTATGCATTTTGCTCCATATTAAAACGTGTACTGTTTATTGTTTTTCACTTGTGTGTGTGCGGGTGTATTACATATGTATGTTGTGCGTAAATTCTGAAACTTCCCAAGTTGAAAAATGTTTTGTTTTACCGGGATGCTTCTGTTTTTAATTTTTGATGGCTATTTATTTTTGTTCGTTTCTTGAATTTTGTACAAAGCTACTCGAGGGCTGTTTGTACTAGTTCTCCATAATTTTAATGCGGCCACCCAGTGGCACAGCGGTATGACTGCGGACTCACAACGCTAAAAACTGGGTTTCGATACCCGTTGTGGGCAGAGCACAGATAGCCCATTGTGTAGCTTTGTGCATAAATTCAAAGAAACAATTTTGATGCGACAGAGTAGAGTGAAGGCAACAAACCAACACCACCTCCATCGCCAGCCAACTTTTCAGCTCTTTACCTACGAATGATGAGATTGACCGTGATATTATAATGGTCATACACATGAAAGAGCGAGCATTCTTAGCGATATGTACTGAGTCTTTAATTTCGTGATTTTGTTTTGGTGGTAACTCTTTTTATTATTTTATTTTTAATATTATAGTATTTTGTTTTATGATTTAATTTTGAGAAAATTTGTTTTCTACTCTGTATTGTGATGTCGCTTTGCTATAATTTCATTATGTATTTAATATGTATATATATATTTATTATTTGAGTTTATCTTGTATATTTTATCTTACTTTCTATTTACTAACCCCTGGAGTTTTGTGTTAACCTTTCTTGTCATTGTTCAGATGTTATGACATCATGCTCGTCATCTGAGAAAAACAATTATCAAATTTTGCGATCTTGAAATTAATTTATTAATCTTAGCATTAACATTCATTTTAATTTCAAGGTGAGGAAGTCGGGTTGTAATGATTTTTATGAAGTTTAAATTCGCAGGCCTGTGTAATTATAAATACAAGGGGGTCTTTTCATATTGCCCCCCCCCCAGTGGCACAGCGGTATGTCTGCGGATTTACAACGCTAGAAACCGGGTTTCGATACCCGTGGTGGGCAGAGCACAGATAGCCCATTGTGTAGCTTTGTGCATAAGTTCAAACAAACTTTTCATTTTGTGATAACATTAACAGCCCTCTCACTTACGTATATCCCGAACACAATTATTTGAAAATATTGAAGAGGTGCAACTGACGTTATTCGTAAGTTAATTGTTGATCATGTTATTGTTTTCATAAGATATACAATATACCTGCAACTCTTGTTGTACTACTGGTTAACGATATTTCATCTACTGTGCATAATAAGTATCCATTTGCAACTATTAATATATATTGGCATACAGCAAGATATGTATTGATATTTAACTGACATATTTCAAAATCTATAGGACATTATTGACAGTTATTGGTATGTTTTATTTTGCTAGTGTATGGATAGTAAACGATATATTATATACAATTAAGTATCAGACAAAAAAAATTAAATATTTAAAATGATGTCAACATAGATTGGTAAAATCTTAAGTGCAAAGAAACACTGTAGATTGATCTACATTGTTAGATGAAAACCAGGTGTCAATAGAAGATAAAATATACACTTCCATGTCGGAATCAAGAAGATAATAACGCAGGCTCACTCATCTGCTGGAAATCCTTGATTGAGAGGGTCTAGGTAAGTCATTGTTATTGAAAGGGATGTTTGTACGAAGTGTGGAATCAGAAGATGAAAAAATCAATAACATAAATCAAAATCCATCCATTTACCAATAAACTGGCGATATTTAGGTTTAACTGTAGCTGATGGGGTCGGCTCCATTATAGGGTCAGTCATTTTTATTAGTAAGGTCTTGATCCAGTCCTTGTACATAGTGAAAGGATGTTAGTCATTATAACAACCCCATAGGTGACCATGTTCACCCTACAATGTAGCACCTCTATGTTGTTGATGATTATTTTTTTAAACGTTTCAACATTTAACTATTTTGTTGCTAAACCTAATTTATTTTGTCTTGAATGCTAATAGTGTTCCCAAGCCACATTACACTTTCACCTAACTTTTTATGTTATTCTTTGTAATTTTTGGAAACTTTTTAGTTCTTGATCTGTGATTTTTATTAGTATTAGACTGACAAAAAATAATGAAAATACATTCACCTCATATTAACACAATACTCATTCACTTCATAAAGTCTAGCATTGATAAATACATTACTTGTTTTACAAATGGTAGCAATAACTCAGTGAAAAAAAATAAAGTTAACTGGAAGAAAAATTACAATAGGATTTTTTTCTCATAAAAAAATCCAAGAATTTCACTAAGTTCATAATTGCTAATTAAAAACACAACAGAAATGCTGTGTCTTTAATAAAGTTAATACTGTTATTGTTATCTTTAAAAGGTCTAGCTGTCCATACTTGGTTTATCAACTTACAACAAAATGTTAATATTACACGGATTTATTTGGTACACACAACACATGTTAACTCTAATCCATTACTATAATGTGGACATGGAATGGCACCACAGATGCCCTCTACTGGGTACAAATAACTTCCACCACTGGTGTTTTCACCAGACTCCTTCGATTCTGGCGTATCGTTCACACACACGAAATTACTTCGATGTTGCTTGTAGTGAGACGCCATAAGGTAGCCTTTGTATTCGAATGTCCATCCTGTTGGACATTCCTGCCATGCCGGTATCATTAGGGTAATTGACCGGACAGGTACGTAACACACAGCACACACGCTGTCCATCTGATTCAGTGATTTCCCTGGAATTAAGAAAATAACAGAGTAAATAAATAAGATCGCTATTAATGTTTTTACTTTGAACATACCAAAAGCAAATATGTTTTTACTTTGAACATACAAAACGTACACACGTTTTTACTTTGAACATACCCAAAGCACAGAGGACACGTCTAATGGAGAAAACGCCATGTTTGTCACATCTACACGAGCGCTTTACGTCTACAACATTATAATGGAAAATCATTTCGTCATGATCAAATTTAAGAAACTTTTACAATTTGATTAAAACTTCATATTGTACTAAAGTGTTTAATTTTCAAGTAATAGACTAGAATGAAGACAACTAATCAACAACGCCCATCATCAACTTTTGGGCTACTCTAATCGAATAGTGGGATTTGGGTTTAACCCTCACATTTACAACGCACCCCTGGCCATAAACTGTGGAATTCACGTTTTTACGAAACAAAAAGGGCTCGAGTTATGGACCCTCAAACCCACAGTTCACGATTACTATATAACACGTCTTCCTTCAGAGAAAAATACTTTGATATTTAACACATAAAGAGTTAAACTATCATTGGCATTGTGTGCGAAGTATAGCTCGTAAAAACACTCAAATCTGTGATAGGAACATATGGAAAATATGCAGTTGTTATATAGAAAGCTTTCCTGCATAAAATTTCCTTTGCTTTATTTTTAAAACATTGCATAGGCTTATTTAAAACTTATCATCAATTAAGGACTCGAGAGAGTCTTGTGACTATCATTCTGAAGCCAGGCCTTTTCCTAAGATTGTAAATTTCTTCTAAGTTTTTATTTTTTAAATTTCTTAGTTTCTCTTTGGATTTTTTAAATCTATATTGATCTGTTGTAATGATTCCATGGGTGATGTACGACCATACCATTTAATTTTATAATACATAAAGAAGTGTCCTCTTTTGTTTAACACAAAAACAAGGAATTGGAAAAAGTTGGGTATAGATGAAAAACACAGACACTAATCAAACTTTTTGACATTCTTTTTGCTGTTCTTTATAAAATGTAGGGTTATATTTAACTTTTTTTTGACGAAATAACGTAATACAATTTTAGAAGTTATTTTATGATGTGTAAGTAAATGTCATTCTACAAGATGCAACTTGTAAATAAATAACTTCCCTATTGGTACAGTTTTACATTTTCACTTTCAGATTTTGCACCCACTATATATATGTTAATCGATATTGATAAGAAAAATAATATTTGATTTTTATTTCAAACACCAATCTCTATTGTTCAATTTGTTTATTCAATTATTTTATAAATACTTACCGTCATTTTTGTCGTTTTTAAAGGGATATATACTGTCTCCTCGATACTCTGTTCCATACATAGAACTTCCCCCAAGTTTGGTTGTATATTGAGTCCCAGGATTTTTATAGCCATACTGTGGTTTGTGAGGCAAACACTGGTAATCGGCTCCACCTCCTGTGTGACCGTAGTAGCCAGCAGCGACGACACCTGTGGAACAACAAAATATTGAGTTTTTATAATGTTGAATTTTTATGTCTCATGCCTTGCAATATTGAAAATAAAAATACGTAGGATAAAAAAATTGGTAATTCCTATTAAAACAACAAGAAGAACAAAAGACAACGAAACCACAGCGAAATAGATATGTTTTACTCCTGAATAACACAGGTCCATCTATACTACCCCCTGAAGAAAACAGGTACATCAGTCTTACCTCTTGAAGAACACAGGTCCATCTATGTTACCTCCTGAAGTAAACAGGTCCATCTATATTACCCCCTGAATAAAACAGGTCCATCTGTTAAAAGCACTGTGGTTTCATCATATTTTTTAATGTATTTCACAGAGAAACGATATTCTTCATACCAACCTTCCTTTTTGTAAGCTTGATTCTGAAATATTGTATTCTGTGTGTATCATCCTAGAGTCCCTGTTTATCGTTACAAACAAGAACCTTAAGAATGTCGCACCTTTCTACTGTGTCATTAATAACTGATTTTAATGAGCAATGCATAAACAAAGACATTGTCTTAACATAAGAAAGCGGTTAACCAAAAACACTAGCTCCTATTAGATAAATTCGTACTGGTGTTTTGAATATGAACGTTGTCTTAGGCGACACATAATCTAAATTTAAGTGGCGTGTTAAAAAACTCAAGGTTCAAGCATAGCGATTCCTAATCTCGAAATTATGATCAGAAGAAAGGCAGCCGTTTAGCAGCACCCGCTCTCTCTATGCGACTACTCATGTTGTGGCTCGAACCTTGTACCTTCCGACTCGCAGACAGTACTGTAACATTCGGTCCTGATTAATAAGGCAGAACATTGTGAAATTAGATTAATTCAGCTAATGTGTTTAGCTGTAATATAGAATATCAAAGAAATATGGGAGCTGTATTAATATAGTTTGTTCTTACCGTTATAGAGAAGTTGGGCCCCTGAGTTTGGACAGGAGTTGCTACCCCAATGGGTGTAAGTTGTTCCCGAAGACTTGTATTCATCTAAAAATAAATACTTCTGTTATAAAATAGAATTTGTAATTAATAAACAAATGAAAGTTTTTATTTCGTTTGTTATTAATGTGACATCGAACATGAAAATATATTTTTGCAGATTGCTTTAAAGATGCCTTTCAAAAAAAAATTCCACAATTCAGGTTTAAATAAGTAGATGGCGTAGTGACGAAATTCGCGTAGGTAAAAACTAGCATCACACTGAAACAAATCGACGAAAGTATCGTGATGGGAAAATGTTTTTCCATACTGGATGCAATTTTACAGTACGAATTAAGTTGATTGTATGAAAGCGCTAAAAGAAAGAAAATAGCTGAAAGACAAGATTACGTCATGACAAAAATATCCTAAAACGTCTGTCGGGGTTCTGAAATAAAGGACTTATGGGAGCTTGAAATCAGATTGTTATTTGCCTTCGTGTGCGAACTTCCATCACACTATGGGCCAGGCTTTCTTAAGTGTCCATTTTTTAACTGGAAATGTTGAAAAAAATATTCTCCTTTAAATGTGACTTAAACACTTCTTGATAAACTTTGTGCTAAAAATCTAGCCCGCTGCTGGTGACATGCTACTTTTATTGTTTATTTCCTTGAAAACAAAACTTAGTACAAACTCAACATAATATATATGTATGGAAAGCTCTTGTCCATCGTCTATCATTTAGAAATTATTACATGTGCGTGTAAGATACGTATTCAGAGAAATGTGCCCCAGAACACTGGCTATATCACTGGCGGGTCCAACACTGGACATAGCCCCCCCCCCATTCATCCCCTCTCAAATCTAATGCTGTCTCTGGAGCTGCTTTCCGTAATCTCTTGCCAACGTACTCGTTGACTCATGGTCGGACTAGAGTATATGATCCGCTTTCAGAAAAATATTAGACCCGCCAACATACGTATTATATTGTTTCAATTTGTTGTTGTCAAACCCTTCTAGGCTCAGAGTAGTTTCATGCATAGATTCACACTTTGCATCTATGTTATTTTAATCGTACAAGTTTTTATTGTTCTATCGTATATATATGGGGTTTTATAAAGACATCAATACAAAAAACAATATTATATTCGAAAACTAAATACTGAAGTAATTCCATTATACAACTTGAGAATATCCGTCATGATAAGTTACTGAGATCATGAACTTTGATTTTGTAGAAACTAAATATGCACTCTGTAGCGAGATAAATGTATGTATATACACCGTTTTTTATTTTTTTCTAAAACTCTAACACTTACGCGTAACGATTTCTTTCACACTTCGTTTTAGTCGAGAAAGGCTTGGCTCCTCCTCACTGCTGAAGGATGCATTACGAGCCTGAATAAAAATAAATGTTTTGAAAGTATATAACTTAAGTACTGAATTATGAAAAAAAAGTTCTTATTCATTCCATTCGTTAGAAACGAGGTTAAAATAATTTCCTGTTTTAAATTCAGTGATCGTATACACATGATTGAACCACTACACGCTAGTTGTGAGAATGTTTTAGAATCAGACAAGTTAAAAAGTAAGTTGAAATTGAAATCACATAAACACCTTAAGTGTTACGTAATGCTAGACTTAAAAAATGTAGTGATAATTAATTAGTTAGTCAATAACTTAAATCATTTTATGTCACTGACAACCCAGAAACATTGTTCGTTTAGGGATGTTACTAAAAAAATGTTTTACCCATATTCCATTGTCTTTTATATTGCAGAATAATGATGTAGTAATGAGATAAATAATACACAATAAATATAGAACTAAACACTACATAGAAAATACAACAATCATACAGGAATGATCATTTTACTTATCGCAACAAAGTTTTAACAAAACCGCATAAAAATATGCAACACATAATCCAAACGAGCACGTGAAAAATGATGACAAGGATTAGCAGGGCCTAGTTTTAGTAGTTGACTGAATTTAATAAGGATTCGATATCCGCTTTATGATAACATTTATTATACATTCACGTGACTTACTTTATCAACCATCTTCCTCCAATTTTCCATGTCTTTTAATTGTGTTCTGAGGGCAGCTATTGTCTTTTCAAACCTTTCGTGTTCGTCCGGAGAGAAATTCAAATTCCTTACTTTCTCTTTAGAACTTTGATAGAAAGTCCATGAAGATAGGATAATAACGATGACGAGGCCCAAAAAAGAAAATATCAAAGCTACAAAGCTAACTACTCTACGGGGTTCCAGATCGTTTTTAACCATTTTTATTACTTTATATATCTTTGTTTGATTTTAACTCTTTAGCGACTGAACCCGAAATAAACAAAGAGAATACGAACATCTTTTATAGGCTCCTTCATAACATTCTTAATAAGAGTTAAGCGAAGCAAATAACGGATTTCCCCAGTCAACAAGCGTATTTGATTGGATGAACTTCCCACATATTCCACACTTAGATACACGCATTTACTTCACTGTACGCTTACGTAATTGTTTGTGTTTCACAACCTGGAATTCCAAGAATTTTTTTTTCCCTAAAGGATGAAAACAAATGGAAGTTGTTGTTTCATATGGATTTTAAAGAATGTTTTGTGTTTATTAAATAAGTTGCTTCAGTGTAGTTTCTTTCTGTGCTCAGAGCTCTATTAAAACCTGCTTAGTCTGTAATTTTATGCATAATAATGTTTTAGCTTTTTTTTATAACCTCCATTTCTAATCCAGGTGGAGTCTAGTAATAATAATAATAGTTATATTTGTTGGTTTCATACTCAATAATCTATAAAATTCGCTTTCAGTAGTTTGGCCCGGCATGGCCGGGCGGTTTGAGAGCTCAGTTCGCAATCTGCGGGTCGCGGGTTCGAATTCACATCATTGGGGCGTTATTTTCACCAACAGATAGTGAGATTGACCGTCACGTTATAAAGTACCCACGTGCTCAAAACTATATGTATTAGGTCTCCAAGAAATTAATGTCGCTTTTTTTAGATGAAAAAACCCGAACAACTTATATATCAAAACAAAACATTTATTAAATGAAATAGTCTCCATTCTTATCGATGATGCTTTTCCATCTTACAATCAGGTTGTTAGTACCCTGATTAAAGAAATAACTTGGCTTTGAAACAAACAAAAAAAATATCGTACATTGAGTAGTCCAAGAGTTGGCGGTGGGTGGTGATGACTAGCTGCCTTCCCTCTTGTCTTACACTGCTAAATTAGGGACGGCTAGCGCAGATAGCCCTCGTGTAGCTTTGTGCAAAATTCAAAACAAACAAACAAACCTATTTCTTTATTATTCATTATTCTTTCTTATTGCACCTAGAAAAAATGTGGGTGAGATTTTATCAACTTCTTACTTCTTTATTGATCACAGAGTTGACAAGGATAAACGGTAACGTACAGATGAGATAATTTCAACATTGTTTTGCCTGAAGTGGCTCACTGTTGAAATATGCGTATATATAAATGTACAGTCATGATTCTTTACATCGGACACATTCCATAAAATGATTTAAGGAATGCCACAAAATAGCATATTCTTTATATTTTCCATAACTCGCTAAAAACACGAAAAAACAAACAAACACAGTTTTGAAACTATCTTTCATAAATATTTCAAGGACTGGAGAGAGCAATGTTATATTTTTGAAGTTTATATTTCCACTTTAAGATTCCATTTAATTGTTTAAACCTTATCTTTATCTGAGTGTATTTTTTGTACTTTATGCTTGTTAAAACACTAATCTGTTATCATTGTCATGACAAAAAATTGGTAGGTTGCTATATGCACATTATATATAGAAAAACAATTCTGAACTAATCACATGTCATTTCTTTCATTTGGCCTTGATCGAGTCGTCTAGGGTTTAAAAGGAGATCTAGTAATATGGTCTGTAATACAAGCATTTGAGTTTTGAGAGGAACTCTAGAAATATGATCTTCTTCCAAGCCATCTAGATCTTGAAAGGGACTTCAGTAACCTGGTCTTTTTCCGGGTCACTTTGGTCTTAAAAGGAACTTCAGTAATCTGGTCTTCTTTCAAGTGAATTTGTCTTGAAAGGGATTTCATTAATCTAGTCTTCTTCCTGGTCACATTGGTCTTGATAGAAACTACAGTTGTATATTATTCTTCCTGATCACTTGGTCTTAAAAGAGACTGCGGTAATCTAGTCTTCTTTCAGGTCACACTGGTCTTGAAAAACACTACAGTAGTTTAGTCTTCTTCCAGGTCTCTTGGTATTGAAAGGGACTACAGTCGTCTAGTTTCTTCCTGGTCGTCTTGGTATTGAAAGGGATTACAGTAGTCTAGTCATCTTCTAGGTCACTTAGTGTTGAAAGGGACTACAGTTGTCTAGTATTCTTTTAGGTTACCATGATCTTGAAAACGACTACTGTAATCTAGTCTTCTTCCAGGTTACCTTGGTCTTGAAAAAGACTACAATTGTTCTTGAAAGGAACTACAGTAATCTAGTCTTTTTCTTGGTTACCTTGGTCTTGAAAGGAACTCCAGTGGTTTAGTCCTCTTCCAGGTCACCTTGGTCTTGAAAAAGACTACAATTGTTCTTGAAAGGGACTCCAGTGGTTTAATCCTCTTCCACCTTGGTCTTGAAAAAGACTACAATTGTTCTTGAAAGGAACTCCAGTGGTTTAGCCCTCTTCCATGTCACCTTGGTCTTGAAAGGGACTCTTGTGGTCTAGTACTTGAACGACATATCTAGATTTTCAAAGGAACTTCATTTATACAGTCCTCGCATATTCCCTTAGCAAGAAAAAAAAAGTGAAAATTTGTTTGGTAGTGCAATTCTTTTGTCAGCCATATTTTCAGTTTATATTTAAGCCATTTAATAGCTTAATTATGTTTCTAGAATTTAATATCTCCAGAAGTACACTACTTACCGATAGTAATCAAGATTTTAGGAAGATCAGATATGTATCGTTTGTCGAAATTCTAGACTTTTTCTACGTTCTCATTGGTCTGTTCAGCCACATAACATTCATACCCAAACAACGGTAAGCAAGGTGTGGTAGCTTTTAACTCATAAGAATCCACAAACACAAAGATCGTCCACGTTCTCCAGGCAATAGTGTGAGACATAATAAAGAAGGATCTCCGTTTGGAAAAGCGACATAGGTCGCATGTACTCAAGTTTGCTTTCGTGACATATCCATTCAACTGTCGCATAGCTCAAGCAGCTAAAGAATGAAACGGGCATTTGTGCTATTCCACAAAAAGACATACTGGTCAAGACACATATTCACACACACACACACACACATATATATATGCGATCGGACTGTTGAAACTGGCGCTGGTAAACCGTTTTCCTCATACATTTGATCGATTATGGAAAGCGAGAAAGGAGGAGCGGTGTGTTTTAAACATGACAGCTTTAATTATAATGGAGTCTTTTACAATGAAAAATACCCTGCAGAGCCATTGTTAAGATGAACGATCATTGGTTAGAACATGGCTGAACGTGGCCGCATGAACTTTAATGACGTGTTGAGATTCCAAAATAATTTTGATAAAACGGATTAAACTCTCTGTTTAGTGAAAGTAAAGAAGAATGTTTGATGATACGCCAGCCACACTATACCTGCCAGATGAAGTTCCGATGAGGGATTTTGCCCAGTGCTCATCAGATTGACTGGGATACGACAGGCATAGAACTGGTCCAGACTTTATTTATATCGTGAATTGCATGTACAACTGTAATGGAATGAACTAGATAAAATAAATGGAATGCAATTATTGTCAATGTTATTTTACAAATCAAAATTACGATAAGGATTAATAACACAGAATTGTTTATTTGTTTCATTTTAACACCATTTATTTATTGATCAGAATGAACTTTACTCTAACTCAAAAGAACTGGGAAACAAGCAAGATAGTCTTCTAGTTCCTGGAGTTGGTCAGGAAATCACAGCGTCAGCGAGAGAAAATAGCATTACTAATTCTAAAAACTTATATGTGAAAGCAAAAAAAATATTAATAATATGTCAATTGTACCATATCTGCCATATCCAGTGCCGACGAGGTCTTTCACCTAATACCAGGACTATATTTAGTAAAGTTTGAGCTAAACAAAGGATGCAAAAGAAAAACAAATAGTCATTTTGTGTGCATTAACTCTGATGAAGCCACAAAGGCGAAACGTTGGTTAAAGTTAAAAAGTTCTTTTATAAATATCTGGGGCATAACAGTTGTTTTCCTAAACTTTTTATCAAAATGTGTCAATCCCTCCAGGATGCACCATAAATTTTGAAAAATAAATAGTAATTTGTAAATAACCTACTGTTCGACTGTGATTGCCGATGGCTGAGTGGGTATTCCACCTGTGTCTTGTATACTTGGTCCCACAATTTAACCATTGCCTGATTTATTAACCATTCAATTACCTGCCGAAACCATTTGCTATCTGAGAAGGCTGTTACGTGTGTTATAATATTCTCTTCAATAAGGAATACCACAGCGTAGCATGCTAAACCAAACTAGCATGGATAACTTCAAGGATCCTAAACATTAGAGGCACACCACATTTCCTTCCAATTCAACCGCCTATGAAAGGTAAAATGTTTTTCATTTAAAGAGGGCATGTAATGTTTTACTTCTCTAAGTGCTTTTATTTATGTTATTTTCTTTTAGGCTTACCTTTAATGAATTGAGGTACATTAGAGTGACTTAAGTTCTGCTCACAAATCCCTTTTCCGTTGATTGCATCCTCTTGGGAATGTAACATCTTCAAACAGTTAGCGTTAGTAAATCCATGGCCCTTCACAAGAGAAAGAAATGTAATAAACCATTGTTATTATTCTAAAGATACAACGTTGTTATTGAAACGCATTTCAAATGCGAGTGTATTGATCATGTAAAAGCTGCTAGTTACTATGGTAACACTAATATAATGTATATAAGGCCACAACAGAAATATTCATTACACACATAAGAAGGACTGCAACAAAAGCACATATCAATAGAAAGCGCATCTTTGTTATTTTCTTTTTTTTTAGTGGATGGTTTTACCTGAGAACCTGTTGGAAGAAGAAAAGCAATTCTTGGTGTGGACTCCAGCTGTTTCGAAGTATATTGCTTAAGCATTTTCATCATGAACTTCCCAATTATTTCATAGCAAGAACTCGTTTTTTTACAAGAACATATAGTAAATTTAGTTTTAACGTTGTTCAAAATTATATAATTATCAATGCAAATTATGTACAGAAGTTGCAGGCATGCTCATAAGAAGTAGTGAAGAATGTTACCGATCGGCCGTTGTGACGTCACACGTGGATAAATCTATACATCATTATTATTTACAAAAATGAAGAAATGTTTGGGTAGAAATATCTGCATACGCCTTATGAATCATCATAAGTCTTC